AGAATTGAGTAAACAATTATGTAATGCGGACCAAAATTTTGCAGATCTACGGCCGTTAGCCAATCAAAATCGAGGATAATCCGCACATTTTTTGTGCGGCAGCTAGGTTCAATGACCTGATCCATCCCTAATTTCATTGCGCAGTTTTTCGAAATATCTTCGCTCAAAGTTCAAAATATTTCAATTTATTGTGGGAATGTACTAATTAAATTTCGGGTAACCAGGAGAATTTTAGAAAAATGATTCTCGGGCATTTTTTAATGTTAAGTGTCCAAAGTGTCCAAGCTGTCCATAGGCTTAAATATTTATATTCTCCATTTGTTCAAAACATTTTTCCTTAGAAGCTTATCTTAATACATTTTGAGTAGTACCCGAGCGAGTAATATTTAATAAACTGTTGATTAAAAAGAATAGTACCCCGGGTACTGTGTGCCTTTTCTAAACATAAATGCAAGATTAAATTTTGGAAGTTTCTAAAAAGAATAATCTGCTATCTGCATAATGCAACATATAAAATGCCGAACATGGTAACTTTCAAATATTCTCGCGCTATGATTTAAAAATTCGGTCAACTAGGCAAACAGCCATTTTTGTATAATACGATTTGTGCTGTGGGTGTATGACATATCAGATATATAATTTCTTAGGCAATAATAACAGTAACTGCAAATCATTCAAGTTTACATCCGCGGTTAGAAACCCCGATAATGTTGCGCTTTTCTGGTTTAATTATACAAATGCTTCAGGTTCATACTACATGGTTGCTAGTGTTCTGACCGATGCGCACGCTCGGCAAAACCCGTGCAGGACCGATCTGCCCGCTATTTGCTAGAGTATGATACACTCATTTGAGTAAATTTATAATTACCGTCACACCAATAAAATATAAACAAAGATCTATTACGCCTCTTTCTTTATCATGTATCGGTTTATGTATCAGACTTAATATTCTCATTATTTCCTCAAAATGAAACCATCGAAAGAAAATCCTAAAGAAAATTTTGACGAACCATTCAATGGCTCAGATAACGAATTCGATGATACCTATGTTATTAGTTTACAACAAATCAATGAATATATATATTTGAATTCAGATATAGACAGCTTATTTAATAATTTTTCTTATAATTAATTATTTAGGAACCTTACAGCTTACTACAACGAAAGGATTTTCAGAGGATGTCTTCATTACAATTAAAATTTTATTATTTTTTTGAAGAACCTAATTCAATTTGGGCAAAATTATTTTCGATATTATCTTTGTTTCTTACATTTGCTACGACTACGGTAATATGTATTGATTCACTACCAAACGTTATACCACAACAGCATGATATATATCTTCATATTTGGTAAGGTTTAAAACATTACTTGTACCATATTATGGGATTTAAAAAATGAACAATCGAGTATTTCAGAAATATGTAGGAAACGAAATGAGAGCATCTAAATATTTAAAATTCATGAACTAAATTTTATTTTATTTATATGCATTAGTGTTTCTGGACGAAATTATTTTGACTCTGGCGAAATGTTTTGGATTTTAATAGTAGTTTCGCCGGAGACAGTTGAACCAAATTTGGGATCACTTGAACCTGAATTTGGATCACTTGAACCTAATTGAGGTTTCACCTGACCTGTAGTGCTACAGGAGGATCCGAAATGTTTCGTCCAGGGCAAAACTATTTCACTCTGCAAAATATTTCAGATTTGAAGAATAGTTTCTCCCGAAACACTAATATTCATGCGAAATAGCTGTAATAATGGGTTTTTAGAAATAATTTGTAAATTTTGTTTTTTAATTAAAAATAGATGGCGTTATTTTTTGAAGTTTGGCCATATTATTTACAAATTTCAGAGTTTAGAATACTCTTATTATATATTCCAATTTCGTTTCTCTTATTTCGAAAATTCGAATCAAATTTCAATTCATTTTATTTACAGGTTTCCTATTGATGTTGTTACTGCCTTAGTATTTACGATGGAATATCTTGGACAATTTTATGCTTCGGAAAATAGATGGAAATTTTTTTATAGTAAGTATAACTCATATAATAATAAATTTCTTTTGCTATTGAGTATAATTTACTTACTAAAAATATATAGAGCTCATGAGTATTATTGACCTAATATCAATAATACTAATCTACTCTCAAATGATAATAATTTATCAGACTGATGTAATAATTATAGTTTATTTTCAATTCTTAGTACTAAGGGATTTCTATATAAACATTCCAGCTAATAATTATGACTATAATTGTTAGGCATCACAAGATTCTTTGAGTCCTACACTGCAGTTGATTAGATTATTTCGAATAATTAAGATATTCAGAATATTTCATTTTTCCAAGTTTTATGACGGTTTTAATGTAAGTATATTATTAATAACATATTTATATGGGTGTTACCAAGTTAAAACCTGTAAATGAAAATTTTTCATTAAATCGGACTTAACCTCAGGAAACCTGTAATTCACATAATTGAAGTATCAGTGTTCTAGTCGTTTCAATATTACGTGTAATTTTTGATAACAGTAATATTTTAAAGTCAATATTATACATGTAATAACCAGAACAATGGGATTAAATAGATACTTATAATTCTTAATATCAATTTTAAGGGTAAAGTTCAGTATAGTGAAAATTTAGTCCAGGTTTTAATTTGGCGAAACTAAATAGATTAACGTTAATCAAATCATATATATATATATTTTTTTTTTAATTTTAATAGATAATTAAAGGAGTTTTTATCGAATCAATTTACCAACTTTTATTAGTATCAACATATATTTTGGTCGTTATGCTCGTTTCATCTACAATAATTTACTATATAGAGCGTGGTTATTTTAATCAAGAAGAAAAGACATGGTACCGTGTTAATTCTTTGGGTCAAAATGAAAAAAGTCCTTTTCAATCTATAATTCATAGTTTTTGGTGGTCAATAGCTACTATAACAACAACAGGATATGGAGATGCGGTTCCTGTCACAGGTCTTGGGAGACTCTTCGCTGGATTTACTATGTTATTCGGCATCTTATTTTTTGCATTACCGACTTCAATAATTGGATCAAATCTCGTTACTGAATGGAATCATTATTATCGTTGGAAATTTCAAATGCGTATGCGTAAAGCACTCGAACAGTGTAAAGTAACCAATAAATCAGAAACATCATCGTTCGAATCTCGACAAAGTGAAAAAAATATATTATATTTTAAAAAACAAAATAGTATGATCTTTGACGCAATATCTGAAGTTCAAGAACTATTGTATGATATTAATCCTGTCAAATTTGGAAGATATAAAGATCTTCAAATAAGATATGCAGAAGCATTGGAAAAGATTAATGGATTGGAAATTGAGTTAGGCAAATGGAAAAAAATTGCAAGTAATAATAATTCTTTTAAAAATAATGACACGGATAGTGAATACGAATTTGACCAAGTTGGATCAAAGGAGAAAAAAAATTCTTTTTCTAGTTTAAAAGGATCACAAAGAAGTTATCGAAGTTTTATATTTAATTTAAATAATAAGGGTAATAATGATGTCTTTAATAGTTTATCTAATGATGATAATCATAAAAATAATGGGAAAAAACATCGACGAAGGGCTTTGAGCTCTGATGCCTTTTTAAAATTAGCACCTTTAAGTAGATATGCTAGAAATCTGTCAAATCCTACAAATGATAAAATTGAGAAAGTTGGTAATTTTAAAGATAGTTCTACAAATATTTCTAACAATATAGAAATTATAATAGACAAACAATCGCATGCCATTTATAAAGAACCTGAATGTGCTGATTTATAGAATTTATGTATTTAATCTATTTGGTCGAATTGTTCCGATTTATCATAATTTAATATTTAAACTACTGTCAAGATAATTTTTCAAATAATTTATAATTAGAATTAAATCAACTACGTACAATTTGTACATAGTAATATGAAGTCCAGAATTACAATAGCGACAATTTATCCCGATAGTCTAATACTTTTATAGATCATTTATTTCTATGTGGGTGTATCTCATAGGACGACATTCGTCTGATTGGTAGATCTACTCGTGATTTACCGTGATAATTAGCCAATTAAAATGCATAATTTTTAAGATCGATCGTTTAAAAACGAAAAGAACTTCACATAGAAAAGTTTGCAAACTAATACATACATACACACAAAAAAGAATGCTACATTTTAGAAATAATGTAAATTGATATTTATTACTAATAAATCCATGTCAAACATTCAACGTACTG